TTGACATTTCAGTGGTTGATTCTGTGATGATTTCGTCACAGTAAACAATGGTAGGACCGAGGCAAATGCATATGTCATGACAAATAGCCTGCATTGAAATTTGATTAAGTAGTCCCAAAAATATTTATACTAATAGGAATTTTTCTATGGTTACCCTTCTGTCTAGTTCAAATTTTCATTTTGAAATGAAGATCTTTTTGGATATATTTATTCAAATTTTGTGTTTCTGATAGACATTATTTATCCAAAAAAGTTTATTTCTGTTACATCAAAGGGCTTTAAGATTTATTTCAAACACAATTGGGATGGGGAAAAACTTCAATTAAGTTATTCCAAATATTGAGGGACTCTCTAAAGCTTTAATTAAAATTCACAATGAGAGGAAAATGCCTTGATACAAAGATAATTTATATAGAAATTAGTTCCTTCGCAATGATTCAAAACACTAAAAGATTTCATATGTTCATCTTTTGTAGCTTGGGTTATCTATTTTTGAACTGAAAGTTACCATGTTAAAGTATCCGGTCTGTCTTATTAGTAACACAGGAGGGATATTAGGATTCAAAAAACTAATTTCTTATCTGGTTAATTTGTTTATATCATTGTTTTTACTGTTATATGCTACTTGATTATACGAATCCAGAAGGCGGAACAATTACACAAATATAATATTCGTTTTAACCCTTTTTTGTTTCTATTTGGGTAAGTTTATTTACTTAGCACATCAAACTTTTTCCATAGCATAAGGGTAGGCTCCCAAAGGGGTATATGTTAAGGTAACCCTACATCTTAAAATTCACTATGATGTATTTAAATGTGCAGAAAAAGATACCAGCAAGTGACAAGTGTTTTGAAAGTGGAAAAATAGTCACTTAGTTCTGAATATCTCTGCTTATGACCCTTGATTAGATTCAACAGAGGATGTGATGTGTCACTTACATATGATATTGCATACATTTACTTTCTCACAATTGGCATAAATCATGATGGGGGGTGTGGGGGTGTCACAAAAAATTGTTTTTTGAGTTTCAACTGAGAGATGTCGGTTACAAACTTGTTCTAACCGCCAGTGTATGCCCTAAGGATTCCAGAGCTGCTGGTCAAAAAGGCATTACTGACCAGTTGCAATGTTATTTTCCTATACCTAGTGAAAAAATCAACTGGTCAGTTTCAAAAGTAACCAGATTATGACCAGCTGTCCGACGCTTAAGGCGTGCCCTGCTAACCGCATAAGTTCACAAAATTGTTCATCTAGGAATAAGCTTTAAAATCATGTTTATTTGAGCTCTCTAGCTACACAGAATTATGATACCACACTAGTAGTTCAGTCCTGGGATTTATTGGATCATTAACTGATTAAGTTGTGACTTTAGAATACTGTAACATGTGTTGTTGAATGTCTTGGATTCTTGGGACCGGAACTTGTATGTACAATTCAATTGTCTTTAGTTGTGAATGAATGGAACTAATGTAGAGAAATCCCTTGTATTGTTTGCTGGTTGATTGGATACTTAAACACCTGGGTACACTTCACTGCTGACAGGCTGATGCAGGTTTCTCTCAGGAAGTGGAGCTATTGGTTTCAGCCGTTCTGCTGTGGGCCTCTGCTTTGACGAGTTCCTGTGATGCTAGTTTCATATACATCTATATACAGTTTTAAATTTATTATTCAGTCAGAGGCTCAGATCTTAAACCAGCAACTTAGCTATTTCTTCGTCGGGAAGTTCAAGTTCAGGTCCCATAAAGGGATCACCCGTGAGGGGGCTTGCTGGTGATGATGCTGCTGCAGTTGGCTGGCTGTTCCCCACCCTGGACTGTCGTACCATAGGTACGGAGGAGCTTGTTGAGGTACTGGGTGATGGCGTGGCCTGTGAAGTAGGCAGTTTGGGCTTCTCCTGGTCCTCTGTCTCCTTCCTGCCGTGAGTCCGCAGGCGGTGCAGTGCACATGCCTCAGCCCCGTACAGTCCCAAATCCACAAGACAGATTTTTCTTTCAGATTTTGGGAAAACCTTACTGTCTTTTTGGATGTAGGGACCCCTGCGGCCTTATCCCTCAAAGCTATGCTATGCATATCTATATCTTGTTTTATCAATGAGGAAATTTTTGAAAATACTCACAGTGAATACTATCCTAGTACTTGTATGTACTGAATGATTCTTTCATTAAGTATGTGATGTGTTACTGACTTTAACTTTCAACCTATCAAAGGTTTAGATTAATCCAATCTGACGATGTTACTTATTTTGATGATGCTAATGATCTATATATATATATTATAGATACTTACGTTTATGCCAGGCCAAGCCTGACTTTGCAAAAATAAGATCCACAGTCGTCAGTCTGTTCCCAATCCTTCCTTTCCTTGCATTCATTTTTCACAAGTTCAATTCTATCTTTGCAGTTTATATAAAATTTTAGAACGTTGACCTCCCATTTTTGTAGTTTATACCCTAAATGATGACCCCCTTTGACTGCTATACCCATTAAGTGAGAATAATGTATAATAAAAGCTTACTTGAATATACGTGGCTATGTTTTAGTACTGGTGTGGTTTTTCCCGGCTGTTGCTTGAAGGATATGTAAGTTTACTGCTCATGAGGGTTTTCTAGCGACTGCAGCGGAGACTGCCCGACTGAACCTCAATTGAGCATTTTCTAGGACTTTTATACAAGAGTATTGGAAGCTCTTTGTGATTAATCTCAAACTCAAATTATTATAATTTGTATGTATCCCTTGTGCATCAGCTTAGATAACCAACCAGAAAGTTTCTTAAACTAACTTCATGCATAATATAAACATCTGGCATGTGGCTGTGTTTAAAACGTGAACTGACCTTACCAGTTTAACCAAGTTTTTCTCTGGTCGGTCATAAACATTAACCATACAAAATTACCAAATTAATCATCCTAACACACGCCACACCCCTAAATTTAATCCTCTTGGATTAATCGTACGTTATAATAGTTTATATAAAGGGATAAGAGTATAATATACTTGTATGTACATGTTATGAACATTAAAGTTATACAGACCATATGTTCTCTATATTTTTTTGTTTATACGATATACAGGGTTATAATCTATATAATATCCCCAAGGTGTTTTGTTGTATATAATATCCCCTAAGGTGTTTTGTTGTTTAAGGAGGTATTTTATAATTTATAATTCTTAAAATGATTGCGTTAACCTTTATTTGACCAAAGCGCTATAATTAATGTCCAGTGTGTGTGTATTTGATATAGTTGATTCAACGTGATACTACACCAGTAGTTTAGTCCTTTGGTGTGTTCTGTCTGTAGAATACTGGCACATGTGTAGTTGTTTGTCTTGGCTTCTTCGTACTGGAACTTTATTATATGATATTTGCAATTTGTTATTTTGCATCTTTAGAAAGATATTACCAAGGCAGATGAATAGATTCTGAAGCATTGTCATCTTCCATTATATATATAACACTATAATCAATGTGCCAGCTATAAGTATGAATTTGAGAATTTTAATGATCCAATTTTTGGCGAAGTCAGAAAAGTCAAGGTGTTTACATATTTTCCCTTGGCAAAGTCTTTTGAGAGAGTTTGTTAGCATATCCAATGCATTAATATCAAATGTCATTCTTTTGATCAAATTTTTCGTACATATCTTAATTTTAATTCATATAAATGAAACGTCTTGCTATGTCAGTATTTTAAAGTTTTTGTGTAACCAAGGTTATTTTGTTGCATTTATTACACTGGGATACTAAAAGTATATCCCCCGGAGTTACCGTGAGAGTTGGCTGGTAAAATGTTACCGAATGACTATCATTTGTATTGGGTCTTTTATCCAAATAAATATTGTTGCACTCTGTGCATTTGATAGGAATCCAAGGGTGTGGGTTTTCGGGATGCTTTTGTTTAGGTTTTGTCATCTTGTATTGCTATGCCAGTATTTTAAAGTTTTTGTGTAACCAAGGTTATTTGTTGCATATATTACACTGGGATACTAAAAGTATATCCCCCGGAGTTACCGTGAGGGTTGACTGGTAAAATGTTACCGAATTACTATGATTTGTATTGCGTCTTTTATCCAAATAAATATTGTTGCACTCTGTTCATTTGACAGGAATCCAAGGTTGTGGGTTTTCGGGATACTAAAAGTATATCCCCCGGAGTTACCGTGAGGGTTGGCTGGTAAAATGTTACCGAATGAATATCATTTGTATTGCGTCTTTTATCCAAATAAATATTGTTGCACTCTGCATTTGACAGGAATCCAAGGTTGTGGGTTTTTGGGATGCGTTTGTTTAGGTTTTGTCATCTTGTATTGCTATGTCAGTATTTTAAAGTTTTTGTGTAACCAAGGTTATTTTGTTGCATTTATTACACTGGGATACTAAAAGTATATCCCCCGGAGTTACCGTGAGGGTTGGTTGGTAAAATGTTACCGAATGACTATCATTTGTATTGTGTCTTTTATCCAAATAAATATTGTTGCACTCTGTGCATTTGACAGGAATCCAAGGTTGTGGATTTTCGGGATGCATTTGTTTAGGTTTTGTCATCTTGTATGGCCCTCTTCGTCCAAACCTTTTAGGGGATTTTGTTTTCAGCTTTGCTGGTGCATTCATTTCGTTTGTGTCCATTGGGGTTCCCAGCCCCAAATTTCCACCTTTTGTGTCAGATTATGTATCATCTCTTCGATTACTTTTTCCTTTGGTTGGGCTTCTATTAATTCACATATTTCTTGGAACTGAAAAATATGAATATTCAAAAAGTGCAATGTGATGTTCATTGTGTTAAGTTCTTAAAACTTATGTTCCATAAAATACTTTTGAGATCTGACCTTAACGACAAACCTTGTCAGAGGAGAAACTCTAATTATCCGTTTTATATTGGTGAAAAGGGGAGCAATCAATGTTGTAGGGAGTTTTATTTCGTCCTCTGTGTTGTTCAATCTAATACACATTGAATCCCAATCGATAAGAATGTGAGAATTCCAGGGATTGAATTTGACTTCGATCTTCCCAATCTGACCCATAGAATACCTAATCATTGGGACTAAATCCAGTGGTATATTCGAAAGAAACAATTCTACCATGTTGGTGGACGTTAGAAAAACCAGCTTCAGTTCACAGTTGACTGAATTCCTCAGCCCAAAGAAGCGTCTCACTGACGTGAACTTCTTCCAAAAGAAAACACACAGATAAATAGTCATGAAGGAGATAATCATAAGGACCATAACCTGAATCATCGTGTCAACGTCTAACCCATACTGTTCTACCTTAGTTTCTGCCTTCCTGTTTTGTTCCGATATAAGCAACCCTTGAGCATTTTGAATCAGAGTGGTTGAACAAACCATCATTTTACACGTTAGATAGGACGACATTCCAAAAGAAACAATAGTCAGAATACAGAATACCGTAAACACGTAATCCATTGTCCCCCAGCTATTTGACCAATCATTGAGGTCTATGAATCGATCTAAAGGGGTGAAAGAGGTTGGGGTATCCAATTCAATGGTCTTAGATAATTTTTCTTTCAAGTTGGCTTGGAAGCAATCGTCATTTTGTTAAACATTAGACCAAGTTTTGTTTTCCAATTAAACTTGGGGTGGCATACTACAATTTCGTCAGGGAGTAAGGTTTCAACCTCGATTGAATGTAAAATAGAGTCATTGAAAAATGTAAGCAAATAAGCAAAGGGTATGCCATTTTTACTTTGAAAGTAGTTTTTGTATTCTCACAGGCGCCTAAAGATTGGGGAATAAAAAAATCTTTGGAAGAAAGTGAACACATGCATTTGCGTTTTATTACGCAAAATGTGCAACTTTCAACACGTTTTGGAAGCTGATTGGGACATGTTAGCGTCCATTCTGATTTTGGAACATTAGTATAGGTATTCTTTAGGTATTTTTCTATTGTCACATGCCTGTTCCCTCTAATTGTTTCTGTCTCTTAAATTCTCAAAAATTATTGTCTCTGTCTCTTAAATTTAAAAAAATAATTTTTCAGTTGTAATGATCTTGCTGGAGAAAAGCTGTAGGTAAGACTTACAAGTTGAAACAATATGTTTAAAAGCCACTGAGTTCACAGAAAAAAGCACCCTCTCGTGAAATATGAAACCAGTAAATTAAGAGTACTAAAATACTTAACAGTGAAAATTGGAACAAGCAAGATGTAATAAAAGAGAAAAGTTGACCTGCCATGCCTGAATGTCAGGTGAGTGAAAATATAATATAAATGAGTTTAACCCCAAGGCTGGCTATATATGTACATTCTCATAAGTGATTGGGCTGAAGATGCAAAAGTGCACTCCATCTGGATCATCTGAACCTGAGATACCATCAATAAAGAACTTGACTATTGTTCAGTTTTTAATAAATCATCATAAATTTCATTCCACAAATACAAATTACCAAAATAAGCAATTAATTGCCAAAGTCGAAAAACACTGACTGCAATTTTAATTGGAATCTGTAGGAATTCATAACTTTTACTTCAATCAAACTTTCTTTGCATTCCCTTTAGCAGTTCTATTCTGTCTTGACAGTTGATATAAAATATTAAAAGTCAAATTCCCACTTTCGTAATTTGTATCTCAATCTTATATCATATAATCTTTTGTAATATGTTAGTTCCGCCATGTTTTTTTTAAAAAATGGTCTCTCCTAAAGCATAGCTGAGGATGTTATTTTTTATTGTATGAATTTACAACATATGGTCTCCAAATATTTCTGACCAATTTCTCTTTATCGATATCTCTATTTATAAGAAAAAATCTATTTGTTGAAGCTTAACTTCTCATTGGAATTAAAAATGATTCATCAAATGTAAGGCCAATGTATAATTCAACATGTACTGAGAAGAGAACTGACAAGCATGTGAAGTATGGCATTAATTTGGCTTCATTATACATTAATCAAATCTATTAGAAATAGGAAACATTAATATTTATTAAATCAAATTTTTATTCGGTAGAAACGTGTATATGTTTGTTCATTTAAATAGCTAATGTATAAATAATTAATAAAATTATTCTTGTGCTAAGGAAGACAACTAGATTAACTGCATCACACAAATACATGTACACGATGTATTATATTAAATATGACTGCCAACACAAGGAACAATTGAAATTATATAGGGAATATAAATTATATAGATTATTACTATTGATAGAAAATATAAAAAAAAATATAAAATTCAATAGATTGTAAAGAGATTTGGTAAATTGTTTGTTTAAAAACATCTCCACTCCAGTCCGCAGAGAGAATCGACCCTCAGCAGCCATCAAGGCAGGCTCCAGGGACTCCCACTGGTCAGCCCCCTGCAGAAGAAATGAAATCCAGAATGATGTATGTGCTGGAAAGGGAAGAGAGGACAGCTGCTGAAATGAAGGGAACATCTAGCAAACCGATCCACCTGGCCACTAACTACATCAGAGTACAATCATTGACCCAGGGATTTTGCATTATAAGAAATAAACCACAGACGGCAAATCAGATGAAAAAAAACAAAAAACGAAACATCTTTTAGAAAAATCAAGGAAAGCAATTTTTTTGAATAAAAAGTCAATACAAGAAATTCGGGGAGGTACCATTTAATGTGGGTTTGCACCCTTTTTATACTCTAGTGGTTCCAATTCTTACATATGGTTGTGAAATTTGGCAGTCTGTCAAACAGATTAACGATATTAAAAAAGCATGCATTTACATTTTATGAAACCTGTTAAAAGACAAACAGCTAGACATGCTGTTTATGGCGATTTAGGGCGCTTCCCTTTATCAATCAAATTTGATAAAGCATTGGATAAGAATCCCACAACTCCCCTTCTCAAACATACTATATAAATCTTATATATATGAAAGAGAAATGCACAGGCTAGGTTTTCACACCTGGACCACAAAGGTTCAAACAATTCTCTCCAAAGTAAAGGACGATTCTTGGTTTGGAGAACAGTCTCCTGGGCTAATAATTTTTTTCATGAAAAATATAGAAATATTACCCAAATTAAACTATGAATATTCAAAAGAGGACATTTAAATCTACAAGATGTAAAAATAACAAATTGGTCTGAAGCAGGGATAACGCTCAATTAGACCGATTCAATAAAATACAAGTCTCGATTTGGGGAAAGAAGTTCATTAGTGTACTGCGCTAATATTTTTTTGCGAAAAATCTAGAAATATTACCCAAATTAAATTATGACTATTCAAAAGAGGACATTCAAATCTATATTATGTAAAAAAATCAAATTTGTCCGAAGCAGGGATAATGCTCATTTAGATTGATGAACTTCGTTCTCCAAACCGAGAATCGTCCTTTGACAGAACTTTGGGATGACCAAGGTTCATTGAATTCAGAAAATATTATTTTACTTTCTCAAATTGGAGAGAAAACATTGAAAAGTAACTATGTCAATGCTTTGAAAGAAGATACTAATTTAAACTTTCCTATACTACTCACTTATAAATTATTTAAAACTGATTTTGGTTTAGAAACATATGCAACACTTAAACAATAAATACCGACAAGCAATTGTAAGGTTTCATGTAAGTTCGCATGGTTTAAAGATTGAAATTTCAGCTACAGAAAGACTATGTATTGTGTGTGATAATATTGAGGATGAAAAGCAATTCTCTTATTAACTGTACAAAGTATGATGCACAAAGGGAAATTTTTATTCAGAAGATGAAAGAAACAATTGGTCAACATTTTATTTTAAATGAGGCAAGTTTTAATATGATCATGAATAACAAAACATCACAATCCAATGGCATATAGGAAAATACATTTACCATTGTACTGAAATCTATACTACGCATTTGAGGTCTGGTTAATTCCCCAAACACAGAGCACAGAACTGGTCTAACAAAAATAGACACACGAGGTATAGAATACTAGTCCAAGTCAGTGCTAAATATAGAATATTAATCTCGGAGTAAATACGAGATTTGGTTAACCTGACCGGAAATGGATAACGGAACTCGTATTCTAAAGATTATAACTAAATTAAGTAAAGGGTACAAGTAAACAGGTTCTAAAGGCGGAAGAGTCAGGGTGAAACTTCACACCAATTTAAAAGGATTAAATAAATAGGCAACAACAATAATGTGCTACAACAACCATTAGGCCTACTAAGCCTGAAGATACTTACTATAAGATGGTAATGTTTATCTATAATGAATTTATTTGGTTTAACTTTATATGAATAAATACGTAATCTGCATGCAATCAAATGCCTTTCAGTTATCTATAAATAACTGCTCAGATTAATTATTGTGATATTTATAATTTACTACAAACAGGAATTCTATAGTCTATTAAATATTTCAAATGGATACTTTTTATACTACTGATGTACAGCGTTCACTTACACAAAAGGTCAACTTGAACTTAGAGTGGTAAGCTTTCTAACTGTATTGTCTTTTACGCCCTCTATACACGCCAGGAAGTATTAAATATCTAGCCACACAGGATTAAACCAAGACCTAAACAACCACTATATGATTTCAACAGCTGATTGACCGATTTACTCGGAGTGCACGAATACTCTGCTTAAAGACAAGTCTCAGACCTGAACATCCAATAAATCCTAAGGATTCACCCTTTGTTAAGTCAATCAACACCTTGTCTGACTCCGCCTCCTATAATGTAATTCCTAAATTCCTTTTACAGCGCCAAAGGCCTAATATGAGTTTTAAATATGACTTTTGGAACCTCGAAATGACAACCTTATTTATTTTAACACCACGTTCAGAAATCTAATTCCCATATGCAACAATTCCTCTAAACACCCAAACAGTGAAAACAGGAGTTTTCAACGAATACAAAGAGCCAAAACTCATAAATTACACAATGACGAATTGGAGCTCTAAACTAGCTAGACCAAGGAAAACAAATAACACCAGCTTAAGCGCTGCCCACGCCGGTTTGTTATGACGGATTGTTTCGCTATTCTATTTCTTTTCACAAACCTCTGTCGTTCAAACGACCTATGTTTGGACCTAAATAGACTGTTAAAATCTCATTCAAAGTTATTAATTGACTTAAATTTCTCTCTTCTATTCCTTCCAAACCTTATTTTTGAACTTAATAGACTATAGAAATCTTATTCTGTGGTTTAGTTTAATTTGACTTAATGACGGTAATGATGATTTTATTTTTAATTGTTTCTTTTGGGAACTCCAATCTGACAATTTTAACAATCAATTTGCACTTACAAATAGCCTCACAGGTGCAATTGCCATTTTTCTCTTCTGCGATTCTGGGTTTCAACGCGTATTCAGAAACAATATTCGGTGGTCATGGAAAAACTCTCCAAAGTCAGGTTTCCTTTCTGCAGTTCTGTACTATTATAACGCATATTCGAAGACAATATACAGTGGTTGTGAAAAATTCTCCCAAGTCGAGTCCAGATGTCTTTTTCTTGTTATACTATGCTGATTCCCCGGCTGATAGCGATCAAAACTGTTACATCAAAGCATGTACACTGGTCAATTTATACTAAACGGTCACGGCCTGGTATTTGGAAATATTTCTCAGAAATTACACAAAATTGCTATCCTTGCAAATATTCACAGGATTGCCCCATAAAAAATACCCAAGGACACATTTTTTAAAGATATTTTCAAACTATAGTGGGCCCGCAGAATGCTGGGTAAGCACATTCCTATCAAGAATCACAACATCATAGCAACATACGGAGTTTCTCACCGCATCACTGTATGTGAGTCACGGGGAATTCCCTAAATTCCTTCATTGGTGTTTCTTAAACCCTATCGAATTCTGCAGACCGGAGGCATTTTCAAGGCCAAACACTGATTCATAAAATATAATTTATGAGGAACTTCACCCAAGAGCCAGGAACCCACTATCACCAAAACAGAGCTTCATAATCGAGGATTAAATTCACAGAAACCAGGCAAAAATAGAACAGCAACAAACAATTTATCATCCAAGGACCCATCATTTCTCAGTACACTTAAATTATTCAACAAAAAATATCACTTGTTTTAATTCATTCCCAAAACCATAATCCAAAAAAGGGTTCTCAAAACTATACTTTTGTTTTCCCTACATTGCCTCTTGTACTTTAACATGATTATTAGTTTTCAAGTAGAGAGGGTCTCTACAGAGGTTATAGCAACTAAAGCAATGACATAGGCAGACATCATGTACATACATACAATGCAAGAACATTGCATGAATCAAATTAAAGTTATTTTAGTGTATCAGCTTATTGTAAATATTGTAATATTGCTTCAATACTGGAGTAAGTAGATTGGTGAATCAATGATGGGTCAGCATTACGTGAAGCATAAAGGTGTGTGGTTGAAATAATTGTCCACATATATTGCATCTGTTCGGTTCGTTAATGCAATGCATTGATCTATAGCTGAAATAGTCCATTGCCCTATGGAATGTAACATGGCAGGTCATACACATCTGGTTTGCCGATGTATGAATGAACAATGGATGCTCGTGAACTGGTATATTTAATTGTGGGCCTTGTACTGTTTCTTCCACGTACTGTGCAAAATGGTAGTTATTGTTAATCATTCGGATTGCTGTTTCGTGTAGTACTGGCATTATGTATTTTTGAATTTTATTGTCGTCGTGAATAGTGATCATTTCTGGAGATGTCTGTCATTTTCATTTGTTACTGTTAACATCACTAATAAATGTTCGTTTTTCCGAAGATTCGTCTGACTGTAATACTGGTGGAAGTCCTGCATCTGTTGTACACTTCGAACAAAGGCCCCGATTGCTATGTCTGCTTGAGGAACCACATTTGAGGCATTTGACTCTACTGCCTGGAATAATAAATTAGTGACAGTAATAACTATAAAACATCAACTCCATGGAGTAGGAAAACACAGCTGACCCAAACATTTTTGATCAATATCATCCAAATACATACTTTTTATTGAGTCATTCTTCAGCAATGTACAAGCATAACAGAGTCCTTCAGAAGTACGACTGCCACAAGGTTGTTTGCATATGGTGCACGTTGTTGTTCCGCTCATGTCTATAATATAATTTAAGTTATATATAGTTGATAATAAAATGTTTGAATACAATACTCTGTTAACAATCCATTATTAGATGGCGTTGTTTGCCAAATGTTTGCTATCCTTTTCAGGTTTATTTAAACAATTGAGTTTGTTTTTTCATTCTGTTTCGTTGTCTTATTTACAATGAACTTAACAATTTTAGTGACATATTTATTTTGTTTTATAAATTTCACCACGAGAAGTAAAGTGACACACAATATTATTGTCACAATTATCTGTACTCATCTCATGGGGATTATTTGTTATTATGAATGTTTCAATAGGATCTGGAGAGACTTGTATGTCTCATGCGCCGGTATCTCCCAACTTAAGCCGCTATTTGATGCATATCCTTACTGAATTGTTTGTCATCGTGTACTATGTCTTTCATAGGTTGCATAAGTCCATTGGGTTAATTTTCATGTAGGCCGCGATGAACAGCCAGTTTAAGTCGTAACACAAAAGCTTGTTATATGTGAGTAGCTTTTATCATCGGTGATTAAACTGCAAGCATATGGTAGTGTCATAACGCAGCTTAGACACACTGGTTTTACGGGTATTTTGCTATCTAGACAGTGCATTTTTAACTTTGGTTCAGCATCATAAACGAGGAAGTAGGTTCCCAAACGCTTTACTTCAGTAGTAGTGCGCATCATAGCTAGTCCTTACTTGCACGAACCTGTCATGCGACCAACAATTGTGATATTGTTGTTGTTATCTTTATTGCTATTAAGATTGCATACTGGGCCAAGGCTGTTTGAAGCATCATTCTGAAATGGAAGAAGTAAATAAAGATTGATTTTTTTTAATTACACGCATGGCTGTTGCGCAGACATTAGTTAATGAGCCTTATCATCAGATACATAGAAAAATACCAATCAGTATTTTTTTTAAAAAGGAAAATAATGTGTCATTTATAAAGGAAATAACATAAGTTAATATGTATCCATGTTGGCACTTTTTCGGAATGTCTAATTGAGAATATCAATACAGCATATCATGCCATCTATTGTTTATGATTGTCATAAAACATTTTTACAATTTCATTTCAGACCAAGTATTAAAGTGATGCTAATGTTAAAAAACGTTTTTCAATTTTGTTTACAAACATTGCTGCCTGTACATTGCGGTCAGTTTTTTCGGAAATATGTGTGGTATACTGTTACAATATATCGGAACCTATTCTTCCTCAGTCCAGTCATCTAGCACTTGTTGTTGTGCTTCAATTCTTGTGAGCTGTTGGCGAAAGCACCTACTGGAGTAAAGGAACTCCAAGGATGTCTCACGCAGGAAGTTGTTGTCTGTACGCAACTGGTCTATCTCCCTGAGGAGCTGTCAATTCTCCTCCTTCTCCGTCAATGATGCGACGCGATTCCGATGTTGTATGCGCATGCGCATCATTTCCAAATTGGCTTCCTCAAGCTGTTGTCTTAAGGTAGGCCAATTTGGTGTAGAAGAATTTTCTCTATCCCTGAGAGCCCTTTGAAGTAGCGCCCCTCTGCCACGTGGACCTCCTCTGCCCCGATGGTGGATGATGGGCCCGGGATGATGGGTGGTACCTCGACACCATCGGAGGTGTGAGTTATCCCGTGGTTGTTTGGCACTACATCTGCAGTAGGCGTAGCTGGAACGATTGACAATTAATTGAAATTGTTTGTATAACTATTGAGTAGTTGCAATCCTATAAAAGTATTTCACCTGTTCATGCTTTTAGTTAATTTGACGTTGTCATGAAATTCTTTCAATGAAATCAATGTACCTCTTTCGATTTCTATCTGAATTGGTTGGTCAACCTCCTCAAACTGTCCCTCCGCTTGCGGGTATTGGTCTGGAAAGATGTGTTGGCACGTTTATGTTTTGGACTAGCATTGCAATATGCGCAACTGTGACGTAATGTTTATGTACATTTCAGTATGCATTATATTATTAATGATTTTATTTTCTGCTCGTTCGTAATAATTAATGTAAATTGTTTGTATAACTATTGAGTAGTTTTAATCCTATTAACGTATTTTTCCAGTTCATGCTTTTAGTTAATATGACGTTGTCATGAAATTATTTCAATGAAATCAATGTACATCTTACTATTTCTATCTGAATTGTTTGGTCAACCTCCTCAAACTGTCCCTCCACTTGCGGGTTTTGGTCTGGAAAGATGTGCTGTTGGCACGTTTATGTTTTGGACTAGCATTGCAATATGCGCAACTTTGACGTAATATTTCATTCTCTGCAGTTTGAGCGTATGTTGGGCAGGTGTTCTCCATTTCTCCTTCTGTATATAATTAAAATGTTAACATATAATAATTAGGCTTTGCTATGTACAATATATATGCCTTATGATGTTCATCAAATAAATTAATAGTACCTTAGTAATGCATTAGTTGCTATGAGTATTGTTTACGTAAATTCACAAACTTTGCCACATGCACATTTACGCATGTTTTATACGTGGTATGTCAGTAGTTATGATGTATTTATTTGGGTCTAGTTTTTTAGAACGTCTCCGTGTCACTTTAATTGTCGGGGCAATTGTGCTCATAGAAGCCTTTCCACATTGGTCAGTTGTTAGTTTTTCTATTTGTGCCGTTATAGGGTCAATAATTTTATCTGAAACAAATAAATGCATAACATTTCACCAGCCTTTGTTATATAAAACTGTAATATTTAATTACAATGCATCCCTTAATGTTTACGTTTGAAATACATCTATTTAGTGTTTTGATTAATCGATGTTGATGCACATTATTGTTGATGTCATTATTTATGTGTATTTTGCCTTGATTGTTTTCCAGAAGTTCATTCATTTTCTTGTGTATCTGTTTCCTGTTCATTGTTGATCGATTGTTTCGAAGTGCAGCAGTGTTGTTGTCTTTGTAAATTCAGGTTACGTTATGATTGGATTTTGCGCAGAAATATCTTAACTTCTACAACGACAACACCATGGAGTAGGAAGTATGAAGTAATATATGTTTCCAATCAAACCTAGGAAATGTATGTTAATTGTTCTGAAAAACAAAACTAGATATAAAATGATTTTAATGTACTCTGGGCTTAGTTTGAGGAAAGCATTGCATTATATTAAAATTTCTCATAGGATGGGGCGTTTAAATTATGTAAAGCTTTAATGTAATTAATGCTACATTATTCACGATTTACTGTTAAATACATTTCATTTGAGTATAGTAAAGTTATATTTTTGAAATAAGTCTAATTTAATGGTCATTGATGTCATGCTGAAAAGCATATATTATATGTGAAATGCATATATGTTGGCCATGTATTAAAAACGTTTGAAACCTTAATGTTTTTTACCTTATGTTTAATAATGGTTTCATTTAATTAGTGTGACAATTTGCCGCGATTTTCTTGAAATGAGCAGCATTTTTTTAAAAACTATTCACCGTTATACATGTTTAAATATATAGACTAATGGCTTTAGTATTGGCAATTATTAATGGAACGTGGTAATAATAACTGATATCTGTATGAGTCAATTTCAAACCACCTCTTCTTATGTGCTTAAATCATCGACAACATGGTTAAAAATTGTTTTCAAATGTTCAGGTGACACTAGGGTAATGGGTAATCGATGTTCTAAAATTTCTGGTATTGTATTGGCCATTGCGCTAAGAGACCTTCCAGTGCGGCGATAAAATTATTGTGGTTGTACATGCTTGTCATCATACTCTTTGCTAGGTACCAACTAATGAACTCAATGTTCTTTATTTTTTCAATCTCTGTTTGAGCTTTATCAAATACCTTTAAACACTTTTCTTTAGTTTGTATATGTAATCTTTAGTTGATTTCTGATTTACGGCCATGGATTTAGCTAAAGATGATATTCTATGACCTGTCATATTTACGAATGTAGCAACACCTGTTTTGAAATTTTTTTCATTCTTCGCTTCACCAACATTCTGCTCGGCTATCTGAATATGTTTAGCTAAATTGCTTAAATCTTTTTTAGTTGCCAAATAAAAAAAGAGACGCTACACCAGACCCTATCCGAGAGAAGAGAGATCGTTTCTGTTTGTCAGCCATGTCGTAAATCGGAAGCGTGTCTTTCATTCTGCGTATCATTTCCTGCAAACTGTCTCTTATTTGGAAGGTACTTTCATCCATTTTGTCTATCATTTTTCAACAATTTGCACCAGTGTTTCATATTTAAACTCCAAATTGTGTGTTGAAAGGTAATGGTCGGTAATTGCTTGCAGTCTAGATGCATTTCGATGTATTGTTCTGATATCGGGCCAACATATGCCGATCGTGTAGTAGTAATTGTTAGTTGATAGGTCAATATTTCCCTTGGGTTTTAGCATCACTCCATAAGCTGGTATGACTATGTCACCATCTTTGTTGATTGTGGTTGTTTGTGATAGCTGTTGTTATCGTTATTGTTAATATTAAATACTGTAGGATTGCTGTCCAAGGGTGAAGCATCATTCTGAAATGACAGAAGTAAATTAAGATTGTTTTTTTTAATTACACGCAGGGCTGTTGCGCAGACATTAGTTAATCACTATATTTAATAAGTTAAGATGTATTGTATACTGTTACAATATATGTGCACCTATTCTTCCCCAACCCATTCATTGTTGTATTGTTCTCGTTCCGCCTGGAGTCTTGTTAGGTGTTGACGAAAGTGCCTACTGGAGTAAAGGAACTCCAAGGATGTCTCACGCAGGAAGTTGTTGTCCGTACGCAACTGGTCTCCCTGCGGAGCTGTCGATTCTCCTCTGTCAATGATGCGACGCGATTCCGATGTTGTATGCGCATGCGCATCATTTCCAAATTGGCTTCCTCAAGCTGTTGTCTTAAGGTAGGCCAATTTGGTGTAGAATAATTTTCTCTATCCCTGAGAGCCCTTTGAAGTAGCGCCCCTCTGCCACGTGGACCTCCTCTGCCCCGATGGTGGATGATGATCCTGTGGTTGTTCATAATTCTCTTTGAATACCTTCAATGCCCTTCTCACCATGCTCACCATACTCACCATACTCACAATATCATCCATGTTTTATGACTTAATTGCATCTTTCAACATTTCTTCCATATTTAAAATTATCTTCTGTATCGAGAGTCTGGAGATGTAAAATCTTTAAAAAATCGTTCTAATTATCGAGGATGGGTGAATATTTTTTTAATTAAATGATAATATATTTCTTTAAATGTGTAGATAATTTTCAAAATTAAGGCATGGATAATAGGATTAATGACCCACTGTCAAACTTGTGATCAATAAAAGTACTAGATCTTTGAGCTTTCATTGCTGTCTTTAAAATAATTTCTGTAACTAGTAGCTTTTTACAGGAATTCTTATTCAAGCCCCTTTCTTTAAATTCATGGTGAATTGACTAACCTTACTCACCATATAGGACTACGCTATCTTTATATTTTGTTATCCAATCACTCAGGCAGTCTTCTAAAAGATGTTGTTTTTGAGTTATAGACACATCTTTAAATTGTTTTG